CCACCACACTATGCAGAAGTGCCTTAATTAACTATATAAGCTATCTCAAAATGTGATAAAATCTATAGAATGATAATTGTTAGAGAGGGAGGAGAGAGAAGGAGTAGAAATAGCAGGTTCTTCATGAACTGCAGAATACATTTTTGTACTTATTTAACAAATTTCACATTTTCATTTGGTTTTACCTACCTTTTCATAAAGATTTTATTTCAACCTCTACAGATCATTCTTGGGGGAAAATATACATCTGCTCTAAGTAAAATTTAATTAGCTGCAAATGGGTTTTATTAAATACTGTACTTTTTCCTCTTAAAATAAAATGTGGACACTAGTACAAGTTTATAAATGTTAGAGTGAAACTGTGCAGCAGACTGTACAACAATGATCACATTTTGCCTCCATTGGGTAGGTACAATTTCTCTTCTTTCTTTGCATATGGGGACACTGAGGCACAGAATGCTTTTAGTGCTACAGAGATGATGTTTAACAGATGGAAATAAAACAGAGCAGGCTTGATCAAATGGGCAGGTTTCTGAAGTAAATTCAGTTCCCTGAAGTTTTTTTATCTATGATTTTAAATAATGAATCACAATTTCTTTTTACTGTTAACATGGAAATGGGAACATGTGCCAGGGTAAACTTCTTGGCTTTCAAAATATACAATAGGATACATACAAAACTGATTAAGTTTTTGCTAATTAACTTTAAAGTCTATTTCTTTCCTGACAGTGGGTTGTGGGAAAAAAAAAAAAAAAAAAAAAAGGAGGTAGGAAGAACAGTGAGAGCTCTGCACAGAGATCTACAGACAGCACTTTGAAAATTTACTCACAGTGAAGCACCAGCTCAGTTCCTCTCCCTGTTATCACTTCTGTGGATCTCCAGCACGTTTTGTGCACTCACTCCACTCCTGGAACTTCTCTTGAAGTTCCTGGGGCTCAGCATGGGGCACTTGTGCAGGATTTTACAGACCTGTAAAACCCTGGCAGTGCAGGCAGGAAGAGCTGAACTCAGCTCCAAGAGCTCCCCTGTTTGTGCTTGCCATGTTCCTCTGAGTACAACACATCAATCCAGTAGGAAATAGGGATTCTGCTTAGGAGTGACTGTGCACAACTCCCTCCTTCTCACATGCAAAATCAGTGAGGAGTGGGAATAACTGCTGATTTTCTCCCTGATCCTGGCAAGAACATTTGGAAGCTCCACTGACATGTCCCGGCTGGATGTGCTAAGAGCTCCTGCAAGGGGTCAGCATTAATCCCTGACACTTGGCTGTGTCCAGAGGGAAATTCAGTTCATGCAGGACTGGGTGGGTGCTGGGAGATCTGAAAATATGTTTGATGCTGGGCTTTATTTGGGGGAATGCAAACACGACTGTAAAAAATGTAACATTTCTGCTGGCCACAGCAAAAGATTAAAAAAGATTAAATATCCCCTTGGATATCCTATCCAAAATTAGCTCTTGCTTAGGACCTGCAATGCCAGATCACACCAGTGGTCCTGCATCACACACTGGTGTGAAAGCACCTTAACTCTGGCAAGGGAAATCCTGCAACTGGGTTAGGGAAACACTCTGCTCAGTCCCAGCATGACCAAAAAAACCCTGAAGTAATTTTTTCCCCCTTATTTCAGTGAAATGACTGTGAATGACTCAGATAATTCATACTGGACCCACAAAAGAAGAAAACAATTTTCAGTGCCTACTTTTCGTAAGCTGGTTGTCGCCTACATTTTTATTTTCCAAAATTAGGAAAAACAAAATCAGGAATATTTTATGCATAAGGTCTTTGAGTTCTACATTTCCCATAATGCATATGGCACTGGAATTCCACATTTCCCCAGCAGCCTGCAGGAGAGCTGCTCCCTGTTCCACATCTGGACCTGCAGGTGCTGTCCCGGTACCTATAAATCACAAGCAGTTGGCAACTGCAATGCTGCAAGTGCAGCTGTGGGGTTATGAGAAGAGCCGTGCGAAGATATTTATAACGGAGTCAGCTGCAAGAACCCTCGGCAGCGATGTCTGAGAAGCAGCAGCGTTCAGGGGACAGGGCGGGGATGCTCATCCCGGGGATGGTTCCGCCAGGTGGCAGCCGGCACGAGCAGCAGGAGGAGAAAGAGGAATGGAACAAAAATCCCTAAATCCCCCGGCCAGGAAAACGGGAATGCAGTTTTACCCCCCAATTTACCAAGAGGCTGTGAGAAAGCTGAAATCACAGAAGGGAGGTACTAAATCTCTGTGATCTCTTTCTTCTGCCTCGGGCTTGTTTTAATTTTTTAATCAGATCCTTTGAGTCTGTATCAGTGGCATCTATTAGTTGTCCTATACAGACCCAGTGTGAGGAGTTTGCTTTGGCAACAGCTCTTGTGGAAAAATGTTGCAGTCCTGCGTAAAATACCATTTGGGAACATAGGTACTGATGACATTCCCAAATTGGTTTGTCAACCTTACTGAAAGCTTGAAATGAAATCTGGAAAACATTGGTATCAGCTCCTTTTGACTGGAGAGCATGCAGAACGTGGCAAAAATAATTAGAAAATTCCCTTTAAAAACCAATTTATGCAGGCAGATTAATGGCATGCTATTTAAAAAGTGATGCCAGAGATTAGGCTAATTGGCTTCCTTATTAGTTAGCCTCAGCAGGGGAGTAGCAAGGGCACGAGTGGGTGTAAATCCAAAATTGCCTGGCCTTCCACATCGTAGCTGAGGATGGGGAACAGGACAGAGAGAGGGGGCACAGGGACACTGTCACAGCCTGTTTCCAGGAGTGATGTCTGCTGGGCAGCAGGGACACTGTGCAGGGGACTGAGTTTGCTGCCCAGCAGTCACTGCCTTGGCCACTGAGCTGAGAGATGCTGAGGGCCATGGGCACACACCAATGGGGGGGAGAGCTGTGCCTGCTTGCAGAACAGGAAAAACTGAAAACAGTTTGTAAAGATGGCAAAGGGGTCGTTGCTCAGTGCAGAATTTTGTCACTCCTGTTATTGACAGGTGGAGGACAAGGGTGGCTGCTTGTGGATGGCAAATTCAATCATCACCAAAGAAGCTGAAATGTCAAACTGAACTAAACCTTGTGCTGTGGCAGTGAGCTGTGTCCTGCCCTCCACAACCCTCATCCACACATATCCATCACAGCAATATTCCTGTGTTAAATATTAAATAGCTGATTTTCAGCAGATGTATTTCACCTCCTGTTGCATCACACTCCCTGTTCACCTCATAGCCCTGTCCTCTTTGTTCATGCACCACACTAAAATGTACACAGAGCTCCACAGGAAGGACAAATGCCCATGTTCCATGGAAATGGCAGTGTGCTGCCCTTTCCACCACTCACATGCAACATCACCACCTGGAAGGTCAATGAAATATCCACTGCACAATATAGTTTACAATGCCTAAAAGCCTAAACTCTACAAACCACACCTTTACCAAGACGAGATTCAGTGATCCTTCCAGCCCTTCTTCAGCTCCTGATGCACCAGCACCACATCATGCTGTGGGGACACCAATGCCTGACACACCTGTGTGCCCTCTGGTGTGCTCTCACTTTCCAGATTTGCCCTTTATGCTGGAAACTTCTCCTCTGACATATCCAACCCTTCAGTTTCCTGCACCACTGCCCAACCAAACACAGAGAGCAAGGGGAGCCACAGCTGGGAGGTAGAATTGGAGCTGGGGGGAATAAGGAGATGGTTGTCAGGGACAAAGAAAGATCATCCAGTAGCATAAAGCTTCTTGAACCACTGTATCGCTATTTTTTTAGCATTTCTAATACGTGTTATGCATGATAGTTCGATTTTTTTTCCACCTTTGTTTTGTCTGGAATAGAACTGCGCTGTCAGTCAAGCCTTTTTTGCTCTTAGCCAGGTTTGCTGCAGACACAAAGCTTATGTGCTCATGCTGTGTCTTCATCCTGTTGCTGAACACTTTCAGCCCACAAGCTACTACTCAGATACATTGCCAGAGAGATGGAGTTCTCAAAAACTAAGCATACTGAGTAAATTCCCAGAAAAAACCCAGCCCAACCAACCAACCTACCAAACAACTGACAGAAAACAAAACATAACCAAACAAGACAAACTGAAAAAAAAAAAACAAAACCAAAAACAAACAAACACACACACAAACACCCTACCCACCCTGCCCAAAAAAAAAAAAAAAAAAAAAAAAAAAAAAAGTAAAGCAGAAAGCAAAGCAGATTGTGGAAGGGAAGAGACTGAAGAAGTCTGGAGTGTGTCACAGGGACACTACAGCTTTAACAGGGTTGATGGTGAGAAATCTCCTAATTTCCATGTTCCAACCATACTTGGAAACAAATTGAAACTAATCAAAGCTAAAGAATAAAGAATCATAGAATGATTTAATGGTTTGTATTGGAAGGGACCTTAAAATCATACAGTTCCACCCTCCCTGCCCTGGGCAGGAACACTTTTCACCAGACCAAATGGCTCTGAGCCCCATCCAACCTTACTTTGAACACTCCCAGGGATGGGGCAGCCACGACTCCTCTGGGCATCCTGTACCACCAGGCTGCATAACACTCAGAGGAAAGAAATTATTCCAAATATTCAGTCTAAACCTGCCCTTTTTCAGTTTGAATCTTGTCCTAACACTCCATGTCCTTGTAGAAAGTCCTCTCCAGCTCTCTTCAGACCCCCTTCAGGCACTGGGAGGCTGCAAAAAGATCTCCCCAGAGCCTTCTCCTCTCCAGTGCTCTGCTGAGTGGCCAACCATGGCTCTCAGCCAGACACCAGCACATCTATATTCTAGACAAAAACCCTGAAATCTGGAATATGAAATTCATGTAGTCTGACTCTATGGGGAAGCTGAGTACTTCTGTTTCCAGACTTCATCATCTTTTGCACAGCACACAGCTCAGTGGATGCTGCAGCTGAAAGCCAGGCCACTGCAAAGGGCTGTCACAGGCAACCATTTGTCACAATACACATTGTTTTGCAGGATTCTTAATGGCTGGGTTTTTAAATGAAGACATTGAAAAATTGCTTACCCATGAGGTATTTTGCTGAGGACATAATATGCTGTATATGAATGCTGATACACCTGCAAAACAAAATTAAGAAAAAGACAACAACAACAAAAAAAAGGAGATTAGTAACTGTCACCTGTGTTCATTTTTGCAAAAAACAGTCTAGCATTTGTGGCTGAGAAGCTCTCCTAAACACTTCAAAACGTGTAGCAGAAAAGAACAGTGCATTAATGCACTTAAAGCTGTTGTGTGTTTTCCATCCTGCACTTTGTGAGCGTGTTTGGCAGATCTCACACGCCCAGATGCTCGGTGTCATTGCCATGGCTACCAGGTCTTTGATTAAACTGGGGGCTCTGCAAAGGCTAAATATAGAACAGACATTAATGAGGACACCTTGGTCAGCTGGAGACATTCTCCATCATTATAACCAGACACAAGGCATGGGTTTTGTTTTGTTTTGTTTTTTTTTTTCTTTATTTCCACATAAATAAAACAGGGAGCAGTGCTGGGTGATAGCAGAGCCTCTGTCAGTCAGGACATAAAACTATATTGAGTCAAGGCATAAAGTTGACCTCGTGTTTGTATGACCTGCTAAGTTGCATCTTCATATCAATCTGTGCTCTGTGGACCTTGGGGAGGAGCTGGGCAGCTTGCACAGCAGCTCATCTCACAGGGGACAGTTTATTACTTATTTTCTAAGTAGTAAATAATAACAGCAGAGTCAACGCCAGTGCTTTAAGAGGTGGTGATTTTCCACTGGTGACAGCAGTTCCTTACAGTGATCAGGAGTCAGGACATCAGTGTGAAAGGTTTAAATATAAATAATTTTATACAAATTTATACAGGGTGTCACTTTTTGAAATTCTATCATGTTACTACATGCAACTAAATAAATAAATCTCCTAGCAATTATTTCATTTGGCTTCTACTTAAATCTTTAAACCATTTTTGCTGTCCAGCAGCTCTCAGAAAACATCCTGTCCCAGAGAACAAAGGAGAAATTTCTTGAACACTTGCTTCACCAAGCAAGTTGTATTGAAATTATTTTTTCCTAGGCTACTGTGTTTTTGCACAATATTTTTTTTTATGCTTATGCTCAAAAAACATGAGATGTTCTGGATGGTGCTGCCAGCCCCAGCAGGGGCCATGCCAAGCACATCATTGGTATCACAAGCAAGCACGACTCAGTCCCTGCCACTCTGGAGGGCAAACCTGCAGGGTGGTGTCTAGGACAGCTCTGCAGCTTCTGGGCCCAGTGAAGAGGCAGATAAACACAAAGCACACCAATAAACACAAGGCACATCATCCTGTAAATACCACATCAAACTCTGTCACAGTTTGAAACCAAACACTGAATCCTTACACTGCTGCATGAGCTCCCTGAAAAACAGGCACGGAGCTGAAAGAAGTGAATTTCTACCTATGAAATGCAGAAACTGATGCTGGATTGATGTGATTTCCTTCTTGCCTGTGCAATTCACTACCTGCATTACAAGGACATCATGAGGTCAATTCCCAAATCCTATCTCCTTTCAGGTACTCAGATCCATGAGGACTCTTCACACAAGGTGATTCTCTGGTGTGCTGGTATCAGGAAAGGTCTTGGAATGCAAGTGAATTCCTCACAAGCCAGCATTTATTTTAGTACAAGTGTCCTTTTTAGATCCACCTGTGTCAGATGATGTCAAATAAATTACCATTTTCTCATCCTCACTCAATCATACCAAAGAGCTCTTGAATCTTCTGATGTTGATACCTGAGACCTGGCTGATGCATGCAGCCTTAGAGTTTATTCCAGCTTTGATGAAGTCCTAAAACTGATACAATTCCTTAAAGAAAAAGCACTGGAAGACTGAATCTGCCTACAGATCTGAAAAAAAATTGGTAATACATTGGTATTAAATACTGAGACATTTTTGTCTTCCAATATCCTGGCACTGGGGTGGAGAAAATGATGTAGATATATAAATTCTGATCTGAGGCTGGGATGATTGTTCATGGTTCTAAGCCATGCTGTGTTGTCAGATGACAGAGAAATAAGCCCAACAAAATAAGTATGAACAGATGCCTTCAGTAGAAAATCAAAAAATGTGGCAGGCTGGAGGGAAAAGAGACAGCCAGGGGAGTTTAGAACAGGCCACCTGCTGATGTCCTTGCATGTGGTACAGAGTCCTACAGCCCTGCTGGAAAGTTCAGAGCTCTCTTAGAGGTATTAATCGAGACTGAAGCAAAACATTCTCTTTGCTGAGAGAGCTGAGGGCTGAGGAAAACAAAAATCGCAGGACATCCAAAGAGCTCTTTTATTTTCTGAATGTCATTTGTCATCATCTTGGATCTTTGGCCAGACTCTAAAATATCTCACATCAACTGTGCTATGGTATACAGACTTCAAAGGCTTGCTAGCTGGCAGAGTTCACTCAAAGGAGCAAAATTTTCTCAAATAAATCCCTACAATGTGTAGGTTTGCTTACATAAAAAAGAACTACTTGTATGAGCAAAGATTTCAGGATCAGACATTTATTATTAATATCACAGTTGTTAAGGACACAAGCACAAAATCCTCTCACCCCAACTATTTCAAACCTATTTGGAAAATACTCTTCCAGCAATGGTACTAAGCTGACACAAATCCAAGAGAAACATCACTTTATATCTTTCTGAGAAATTAAATGGTAGCTTTCCTCTTAGATATGCAAACTAAATGAAGTTAACTGAAATTTTTGAGAGAATGACTGTGCTTGCTTAATATATCTACTAAATTTCTGCTGGGGTCAAGATGAACTTGACTATTCACTTAGCAGTAGGAAAACCCTACAGAAGGGAAAAGTGCAGGGAAAACATGAGCATTCTTCCAAAATCCAAACTAAGCCTCAGCAAATGGAGAGTACTTAAAAGTCAGTATTCACTTCATTAATCCTGTCTGCTGCTGAGGCCTGGCCAACAGAAATAGCTGTATAAACTCTGTGTTCCCCTTTTTTGTCAAAGGGTGTGGTAAAAGCCATTGGCTGATTTGATGCTGTCAGCCCTGATTTTTAGCATTACACCCCCTTTCAGCAGAGAGGCATATTTGGGGTAGCAGAATTTTGGCAATTGTTGTGTTCTGTAGACTCTGTGTGTCAAACCATCCCACCAACATGAGTCAGAACAGGTTTGGGAGTGCTCTGAAGGGCTCTGGGTATCACCACAATCAGGGCACAGAAGCTCCCATGCCAGCTGTCACCAACAAGTGCTGTGAAAGTCATTATGACAAAACCATTGGGCCAGAAACACTCTCCCACTGGGCTTCTCATCCCAGGTCACAGCACAGATCTTGTTTACTTTCAATCTAAATTATGCTCTGCAACAGGTGCATTTTTACACTGAAATCATAAAGGGACTGAGAGACAGATCTCTCTGTTCCACTGGAGTCTTGGGAAGGCAATTATCTCTCTAAAATTCAGAAGAATGCAGGGCTAATTATATGTGACAACACCTTGTTGTGAAGCTACTGACCTCTTTTTATGCAACCAACAGAAGAAACCTGGACCTGGTCAGATGAGAACAGAAATGGAAACACTGCAGCACATGGAGCAGCAGAAAAGGACATGTGCCTCTCTCAGGCCACCAAATTCCAAAGGAACAGGGAAATTGTGGTTCCAACAAGGTACAGAGACCAAATGGAATAAGCAATTTCTGTGTTCTGTCACTACAGAGCAAAGTGTGGTGTGAATGGCAATGTCTCCTTGGAAGCACTTGGTTCAGTGCTGTAAGGATACAATTCCTTGTCCAGCAGGGCTTACTCAAATAAAAACTATTTGTTATTTAAGCACAGAGTGGATTTGGACTAATTTATTCATTACAACTCTTCATATACTTTAAATTAGAACCCACAGCTCTTGTTTTTGGCCCAGAGTAACTGCAGAAACATGTGACATATATCCAAGAAATTTATGAAATAGGTTTTCAGCACCTTATGGCTGGTATGAAAGATTGCACTACCTGCTGAGGGTTTGCCCCAAGCAACAGAAAAAAAGAAAGAGTTTAGTTACACTTCCATTTCCTGTCTGTTGGTTTCTGTCTCACTTTGTGGGCTGATGCCAGGCCAGCACCAGCAATAATCAGCATTTAAGGAAGGCTTTCTTTAATGTTTGCATGACAAGGTGCTGAATCAATACAAAGAGGCACTTAATTTCAAGGAGGGTTACAAACAAAGAAAGGGGGAAAAAGCCCTTGGACGAAGGCTCCCCAAATCAGCCCAATCCACTCATCTTCCAGCAGGCTTTTATACCAAAAGAGCTGATTTAGGGTCTTACCACCTGGTGTATAAAACAGCTCATGGATCTGAGATTAAGCCCAGGTGGACTGGCTGCTCATGATTGTTACTTACTTGATAAATACAGGAATAAATCATGCTTTGCATCCATTTTCCAAATGGCTCCATAGAGCCCCTGGCCCTTCGTACAGCAGTGTTATTTACATTAAAGAATTACCCAGAAAACTCACAAAAAAAATCCCATAAAACTTAGGGCTCACAAGGGACCAGTACAGGGCAGAGCAGAAGTGCAAGCTGTTTGCAGCTTGCAAGGCTAAATACAAATTTTTCAGTGTTTAGTGTCTTTCTTTTTCAAGAATCACACATTTTATCCAAAATGAATCCCAGTGTTCCCAAATAAAAATGAATACACCAAATAGTCATCAGAAAGAAAAGTGTACAACAGTTTCCTAAAGCCTGAAAATAGCAAGATATATTTTAGTGTAATTAATCATAGAGCACCCAAGATTTATCTGGGTGAAATGACTAATTTTTTATTCTGTAACAATAAAGTTTATCAACAAATAATAAATCCCCTCAGGATTCTTAACAGAGCCTTGCTGTCTTGAGAATGTATCTGCTTTTACACTGTGCAGTAAGACAGTAAAAATATATCACAAGTGGCTGGTGAAACAGGAACTGCCAGATCCATTTGAAGGGTTTCCCACAAAGAGTCTCTAAAAAGACATTTGCTGGAAATAGATTATACAGCCCATTTTCCTACTTATGCTATGAGCAGACAAATCCCCAAATGCACATATGAATGTCAAGCCAATTGAATAA